TAAGAAATTTCCTATGGCAAGTTCTGTCAGATAAGAGTCGAGTCTTCTACCACTCGCACTCTAGTCGTTGCCCAGCCCACTTCATTCTCCTAAGCTCTGGTGTGAACCAAGGCCTTCGATTCGAAGTGGGTTGGCAAGGACGCTTGGGAGCGATCGTGTTGATAGCCCTGGTAAGATCGGTGTTCCAGGTATTAACCAGAGCCTCGACAGGGTCACCGGCATTCCCAACCAATAAACCCTCCAAGGCTTTCTGGAATCCAGAGGGCTCCTTAGCCTTCGAGGGCGGACCATTCTAATAGGTTCCCCACCCCTGGAGAGGCAGACATTGGCTCTCAGTTCTGCCTTGACCAGGAAATGATCCGTCCATAACAATGCGGAGGTACTTACCACCTCCGCCCACAGATGTTCCTGCTCCGTACAGAAGACCGCATCGAGTGTATGACTGGCACAAGTGTGTATGTGTATGACCATAGCCAGGACTCTTAATGGAACAGCTGCTGAGGGAAGGCAGAAACACACACAGAGAGAGATTTGTCTCAGTCTATGTGTGAAAATCATTTGCAAATTTGCTTGCTTTTGCGGGATGAGCGTGCTTTAATCATTATCGAGATGGAGGCACATTTGGTCCCATTGTGTGAAAACCATTTGCAGATTTGTGCACATGTGCGAGTTAATCTCAGATTCTGCAGGGGATAAGCGCTTCGCATGTGAAAAACATTTGTGCAATTGTGAGTTAATAACTGGTTCTTACCATTTTAAACTTCCATTTTTCCCCAAGTGATAAACTCCCTAGAGAGATAAACAAGAAAGGTAATCAAGGAAGTTCTTGTCAAGGAATGGATCCTGGAGGAAATGTTCAGAGGTAGGATAACAGGTAACAGGGTCACCTTGAGCAATGGAGTAGCCATGAAGATGTGCTGAGTCCTAGGGGGCTGATGCAACACCAAGCAGAGGATTGAGTCAGACGTGTGAAATCCTGCTGTGTTGCATCAGCCAGGTGAGTGGGCTGGACTAGATATCCCTGGAGGGGATAATGTTTATAAGGGAAGAGTGATATTTTACAGTGTGGGATCGTTGGTGTGTGGTGTAATGTGAGTAGCTTTGTCTGTCTGGACAAGATTGTACACAGAGGAATGAAGATTAAACAGCCTCCTTGAAAGATATCTACTTGTTGTCATATTTGCCAGCTTCGGGAGGGGGAGAGAGAGTTCTCCAGCCTGCATAGAGCTCTGTGTAGCTTCTTTGGTGGCCATCCAGGTGCACAGCTTCAACGTGGTGCAATGCTGCTGGCGCAATCACTCTGACAGTTCTCTCTCTCCTCTCAGTAATCAGAGATAAGCATTGATGTAAATTTTACTTCCAACAAGAGGGACTGGAAACTCTGAAGATGTTCATAAAGGATCCTTTGATAACCCAGCACCCTTTAAACCTGTAATGCTACTACAGTAACAACCAGTACCTTAGGCTATGCCCACAAAAATGCTGCAAATCTCTGTTCAAATACAGATGTGCTATGTTAGCCGGCATGGCATAGTGGTTTAAGTGTCAGGCTGCCATTCTGGAGACCAGGGTTCGGTTCCCAGCTCAGCCATAAAACTCACTGGTGACCTTGCGCAAGTCATAGTGGCCAGAGGAGGTTTGCCATGGTCATCCTCTGAGATTGAGAGAGTATGACAAATCTTGCCAAGAAAACTCCATAATAAGGTTGCCATAAGTTGGAAACAACTTGAATATACAACAACAACAACATTCCCTGTGGCTGGGCTCCTTAACCGCTTATTTCTTTTGTTAACTAGCTGAAATTTCTGACAAAGTCCCAAAGCAACCTCAAATACAAAGTATCACAGTAACTTATTTCAAAACAGGAAAAGATAGTCCTTTCCTGATTATGGAGTTTATCACATGGGAGAAAATTGGAAATCTAAACAGTGATTAACCCGTAATTAACATGCAATTGCACGAATGGTTTTCACATGCAAAGCGCTGTTATCCCATGCAGAATCCGTGGTTAACTCACAATTGTGCAAATGGTTTTCATATGACGTTGAGATGAAACGTGATTAAAGTGCCATTATCCCATGAAGAACCAGGCAAGAAACAACAGTAACTCATTCATGGAATTTTCCAGTGAATGACTTTTTGCTGTTTCTTGTCTGGTTATTCCCTGGTCCTTCACGGTATAATGGCACTTGCATTAGTGTCATTTTAAACATGTTTTAATGTCAATTGTGCGATTTTCACAGGTTAATCATTGTTTAAACTCCCTATTTCCTCCATGTGATAAACTCCTATGAAAGAAACTGCTAAAAACTCTTAGTGGGCTCTTTGCGCTGTTTTAAACAAAGCAGCGGCAGCAGCAATTTCTCATAGATGTATGGCAGGTGGCCTTGCTGTGAGAGGATGTAGCCATGATGGGATATTGCTACAAAAAAAAAAACCTTTTGGAAAGGCAGACAGATCTGCTAGACCAGGGGTCGGCATAACTTTTGGGGGTGGGGCCAGTTCTGCTGTCCCCCAATCGTTGGCGGGCCGAAGGGGGGGGGAAATGGTGCTGGAGGTGCGCGCACTACTCCCGCCGTCATGCGCATGCGTGCGAGATGCAGGGTGCCATTTTGCATTCCAAAATGGCACCTGCGCTCGCACATGCATGCGCACAATGGCGGGCATCATTTTGGAATGCAAAACAGTGCTGCATGTCATGAGTGCAGGTGCATGGCGGCAGCAGCAGTGGTGGTGGCAGGACCAGCCACGGGCCAGTTACAAGGCCTCGGTGGGCTGGGTTCGGCCCGTGGGCTGTAGTTTGCTGACCGCTGTGCTAGAAGCTGCAGAGATGGAGGGACTACTTAGGTGTGTTTGCCTATCTACAACAGGCAAAGTAAACTACAGCTGCCTCACAAAGGAATCCCTTATTGAGTACATCTGAACAGCAAAAACTTAGAGAAACAGGGAAAGGAGATAAGCCTGCCTGACCAGCTAGTTTTTAAAAAAGCACAAATCTATAAGTTTCGCCACCCAAATGGAAATCATAAGAAAAATGGAGGCTGGTGGGAGAAAGTATTATCCCTAGATGAGCATTGAAAGAAGCTGTTGGGTGGTCTCTATAAAGTTTTAAATGCTTTTGTTTACTTATGCAAGGCTTAACTGTTGTTTCTTTTTAATTTCACATGTGTATATTGTTAGCTTTGAATCACAGGTTTGCTGAAACAGGTTAAATTGGTTCCCCCACCCCCTTTTTTGTGGTGTAGGATCCTCTCTCTATTCTTTCCATTATTTCTCCTTCTGGTACCAAATTTTCTGTTAAAGAAGTAAGGCTCAGGAACACATCCACTTTATTAACTGAGGTATGCCTGTACACACATTATGTTGCATAACCCAAGCCTGATTTCTTGGTTCTAAAATTTCAGGATATGGGGGGAAATACAATTTTTTGAAGAGACAGTAAGCTGCCTTACTGATATGACAAAGATCGGTGAAACGCCAACTGTTCTGTTTTCAGTACAGAACAAATAGCCACCCTCATTGGGGAAGATAAAGGAGCTCATCGCCTTGAGGTCTGAAGGGAAAGAAGCTATATCAGCCATTGAAGCACAAGTGAATTAATCACTGAAGACTTAACTCTT